GGCCGAGAACGCGTTGAAGACGAACCGCGCTCTGGACGACCATCAACGTCTACCGACGAGGGCCACGTCCAAAAAAATCGAAGATTTGGTGCTTGAAAATCGTCGACTGACAATGAGAGACCTCGCTGATAGTGTTGGAATATCATTTGGCTCAGTCCAAACCATTTTGAAGGATGTTTTGTGTCTCAAACGCGTCAAGTCTCGATTGGTGCCGTGTCATACTGCATTGGTTCTTCGCGACGTTTTTGCCAAAAACTCGACTCACATCGTTCCGCAACCACCGTATTCGCTTGATTTGGCTCCGTGCGACTTCTGGTTATTCAGCAAACTCAAAAAGCCAATGCGGGGACGCCGTTTTGACACGATTGAGGAGATAAAAACCGAATCGAAGAAGGTCTTGAAGGCTATACCGGAAAAAGACTATTCCGACTGTTTCGAGGACTGGAAAAAGCGTCGGAAACAGTGCATTTTATCGGACGGGGATTACTTTGAAGGGGATGAAATTGATTTGGAAGAATAAATAAAGAATTTACATTTTATAAACAAATTCACCTTACTTTTTGATCACAGTAGTATGTAGCTTTGGTAACCTACAATAAGTAAAAAAGAGTATTCTCACACCTTTCTAAACGGTATAACATTTCTTCTAATTGAGCAAAGCCGTCTAAATTATTTTGGAATGTTAGAGGAATTGGTTCGCTAAGAAATGGTTAAAATAATTTTTGCAAAAGCTGTAATCAGTTGGAATGACAAAAAGAAAAGAGAAGTTATACTCGTCATCTCCTTTTACCGAGCTTATAATTTTCAATCGTTTGCAGCTCGCGACAATGTTAACGAATTCCGATGAAAGTTTCCGTTAACAAAAGCAATAACAATCACGACTGTTCCCGTCAAGAATTCAACAGTTTCTAAAATCGTCGAATGGAACGATTTTCGTACGCATCAACAGTATAGGAGAATCGTTGACAAATTGTTCACAGGTAGCTCGAAATCCAAATTTTCGAACGAATCTAAGAACTGCCATCGTGCAAAACAATAAATATAAGCTTGTAGATGTTTTTACTCGTCGAAGATCGGTAAATGACACCGTCGTCTCGTGTTGCTATTTGAATGTTACCGTCCCAAGAACAAGACAACTAATTTCCAGCGAGACAATGGATCGTGGGTATCGCATCGAAAACCTGTGAAAAGGTTCGCACTCACCGAACAGCAACAAATACGCTGAGCATCGTAACAAGAGATATCATCGCGACCGACGAGCAACAGCATCCTCAATAAACTAGCACGATTTCGACCGGCGTTCGATTACTCAAAAAGGAGGGGATCGTAGGGAGGGAGAGCCGTAGGGGTGGGGACGGGATCAGAAACGGGGATCGAAGCAATTACACGGCACCGATTAGCGAATGAATCGTTGTCTTAATGGGCGGCGCGCAGCGGCGGTGGCGGCGGCCCGCCACCGGCCCGAGAGAGATTAGCATTAGCCGGGGCGGCGATCGGCGATCAACAAATTGCTACCAGTTTCTTGCGACTTTTGTTTCGCCGGCAGTCACAGTTTATCGACGATTCGTTGAGCGTTATCGCGGCACCGGCCGCACTTACGTCCATTACACGTCCGGGATAATTACACGGCTGGAACCGGGCCCATCGACGGCCACCGCTCGCAGTAGTTACATTTCACGGCTAATTAACGTTTGTCCCTATCGGTGGATCGTTACCGGCCCGTTCTGTTACACTCTCCTTCTCTTTCTCTCTTCCTCCCTCCCTCTCTCTCTCTCTCTCTCTCTCTCTCTCTTCCTCCCTCCCTCCCTCTCTCTCTCTCTCTCTCTCTCTCTTCCTCCCTCCCTCTCTCTCTCTCTCTCTCTCTCTCTCTCTCTCTCTCTCTTTCTTCGAAGATCGGAGCAGTGGCTCCGGCAAAAATCGGCGCACGAAAGTTGACGGTTTCGCGTGCGATTTCCACGAAAGCCATCGCGATGGCGTTGCCACGGTGGATTGCCGCTCGTAAATCCCGCCACTTACCATTACCGTTACCGAGCTGCCAGCCTGCCGACCAGACTGCTCTCCGAGACTGGCCGGAATAAGAGACCAGGACGAAATCGACAGAGGAGGGAGCAAAGAGGACACTGGACGATACTCCATGAGTATTCCCCACTGTTTCATGCAAGATTGTCGGTCATAGTTGTTCATTTTCCTAGGGACACGTGTTTGGCGCAGACTGATGCCAATGCTCGATGACGAGTCCTCGATGGTCGTTATAAGAGTACCAATAGATATACAGTAATGTCTCTCTAATCGACGCTCAGATTGTCCACAAAAATGGACAATTTGGGAAGAGGAGATGCGATTATTCGATCCTTGCGGTTCATTTTCATAGTTACGAATTGTCAACAACTATAAAAACGAGTTGAAAGGCTCGAATAATCGTATCTCCTCTTCCCAAATTGTCCATTTTTCTGCACAATCTGAGCGTCAGTTAGCAAGACTATTTTTGTTTCCCTGGTTCTGAGTGTGGTATTTTTTATGCAAATGACTTATTGCGATGAGATATTAGTTCATTTTACAATGGATAGTATTGTTCGATTTATGGTACACTAGGAACAATTTAGGCACGAATTTTGACGTCATTTTTGAACCTTGACTTAAGAGCTTGTTTCTAGCACAATTTGAGCGTCAATTAGACGCTACTGTATGAGGATATACTGTAAGATATTACTGTAAGAGGATATAAGCCCAAAGGAGAGGAACGAACAGGACTCTGAACGACGATCCCGTCGACAATGTTCATATCGACTCTATTTCTGTATGTTTCCATAGTCATTTTCTTTTCTTCGATATTTTTTAAACAATTTTTTAAAAAGAATTTAATCAACAACCGTTTTCATCGATATCAGTTTTCCTGGATATTAATAGAGCGTGAATTTTATCCATTTATAACAAAAATGAGCAGATCGAATTAAAGACTGTAAAACAGTTTAAAAAATATAGAGATACTGTTGTTATCATGTTCAACACATTCAAATGATTAAATTTAAGAAATAACTGTAGCTTCTGAATCTTCCAATTGACGCAGACAATTTTTATTTTGCACGAAAATCCGCAGTTTAGTTAGATGTCAACTACATCAGTTTTTACACTCGATTCATTTAGATGTTCCGTTAGTAGAAACTTAACATGCGATAACACTTAATCATTTTCCATATAATGAACCTTTTTATAGGCTCATCCGATAAATTCAATTCTAAGTTTTAGCCTCAGTTTTAATGATTCAGTCATTAGTACATTATTCATACATCTTGTGTAAGATGAATATTAATAACAATTCTGTTCTCGTGGATTATCGGGACACCGTTCACCGCGATATTTACACACGGATTTACAATATAACTTTAATTATGGATTTGATGTGTTTACAGCAGTTCCAGTCTGCTTAAGCTTGGTCCAAGTAGGTCATCTTTGAGAATTTATTACTGGAGAACGAGAAGATGCGCGACAGAAAAACTTGTCGCAATATATTCAGGAGTGATTCAGTATTGCACAGGAATTTTTTTCTGTACACTGTATTCAATCGTGCTTGTTATAAACGACGTTGATCGCCTGTTTGATTTAATCCTGAACTGGTGCCATAACTTTCGCAAGGACGTCTAGTATACCGGTGTCTAATTCTAGATGAACGATCCATCTCATTTTATTTTTAGCTAGTGTAGAACATAATAAATATTATACATGGGAAACGGAATTTCTGTTACAGAATAAAATAGAAACATTGAGATATTATCAATGAATAGTAGATCAGTATGCAAAATAAAAATTTTCTACTTCGATTACAAAAAACAGAAGTCAAAGATATTTCCTCCGTTAATAACTCTACTAAATTGATAATAATATAGCAGTTTTTATTTGAATCTTCAACTGTTTTCATTATTCCATGTTTCAAGTGCTCGTTTTTCTCATAAATGCATAAAATCCGCTGTCTAGTCATTAATCAAATTTCCTCGATATTGAAAGATCCAGTGTCTACAGAGTGTCCCAAAAATGTCTCGCAATCCGAAAGTGGCGGGTTCCTCGGATCATTTGAAGCAGCTTCTTCCTTTACAAAAATTTTTTCCGTGGTACCGTTAACGAGTTATTAACGAAAAACAGTGAGCAATAAGAATCGAGTACGGCTGACGCGAGGCGGCCCAGTAAACCAGCGCACAAAGCCCAGTTCCGCTCATTGGCTCGGTCGCCTCGCGCCAGCTGAGCTGGTATTCGACCGCCTCGACCGCAGGCGCTGTTGGTCCGGCCGCCTCGACCGCTGGCGCCGTTGGCTCGGTTGCCTCGCGCCAGCTGAGCTCGCCTCTCATTGGTCACTGTTTTTCGTTAATAACTCGTTAACGGTACCTCGGAGAAAATTTTTGTAAAGAAAAAAGTTGCTTCAAATGACCCGAGGAACCCGCCACTTTCGGATTGCGAGACATTTCTGGGACAGCCTGTATACTTAAATTCTCTGTTAAACAAATATGATCTATATGCAGGCTACATGCAACAAGATTCGCTATGGAGACAACAATACAGTCTAATACCGCAGTTCCTAAAGAACTGTTCTATTATCCGAGATCGACTCGTATCTCGAGGTTCCACGGTTCACAGACTCGAAGCACATCGAATCAGCTTACGCAAAACCACCTACGAGAAGAACGAAATCGAATAAACGGCTTAGGTATATTTCGCCGGAGAATGTGCCACCGAGAGAGGGACCGATCGGTTTCGCCCTTGAAGCTCGGAAATAATTGCAGCATGCACCCGTGCGAACGTGGCGCCCAGCTCTCGGCCTAGAACCGCGTGGCCCCTCTTTTCCCTCGGTTGATTTATCTCGGTCTTTTCTTCGCGGAGAAACGACCAGTCGACGTGCCAAGAACGATGGCTGTTACGGTTTAGAGCCACGGCGGTTCGCGCGGAGGGCTCCGCGAGAGAGTTCACCGGGACGAAACCGCCCACGAACCTCTAAGGTTCCTGATCCCCTGGCGCCGCGAGTCGCACCGAAACGTCGCGACGCGCCGTTCGACACAAAGGTTCTCGCTTTCGCAATCGTCTGGCTTATTGTGGAAACGGGGGAACCGGGGCCCGCCGCTCTGTCGCGGGAAAAGGGACTGGTTCCACGGCGGGTCAGAGGTCTCGGCGACAGACACGGGGTATTAGGAATCCTGTGAACTCGTTCAAGAGGTTAATTGGATTGAGTCGTCCCCTGGAAGATCCGGGTGGGAACGCGAACGGTGGATTCGAGAGGTTCTCGAGATTCAGTTTTAGCCTGTCTCCGATCTGCCTTGTCATTTTATTTGGGAAACTGGGTTTTTAAACATTTGTAAAAATTTGCGGTTGGGTTCGTTCCTTTATCTAAGAACGCTGCGTGCCTTGAACCGAGACGTACAGTAATTTTCTATGGAATTTTTCGAAAATTTTATGCAGAAATGCAACACTAAATCTACCGAGCTTCGTGGAGCTTTATAAAAATTACAAGATTGAATTTATTTACATTTTTCGCTATTTTTATGATATTGCAAGCTTGTACAAAGGAATTAATTCAATCATTTCTTGAGAAAGAGTTTTCTGAATGATAATAGTTCAAAAATAAAAAATGTAAGATCGGTCATTCTGACCGTGATGACAGGTTTTGTGATAAGATTTATTCGATTCTCTTTTGTCTAAGAAGTACTTTGTCCTTCGAGCTAGGAAATCTAATCAGTGATTAATTTTATTCTTCTTTGTATAGGAAGTACATGCCACGTGCTTTGATCTAGGAAACATAATCAAAAGACTGCGGATTTTTATGCGAAATAAACATTGCCTGCATTAATTGCAAGAAATAGAAGTTAAATAGAACGTTCTTTCTTTCTTTGATAATTCTAATAGATTAACGATAATTATGTTGAAATTTCAAAGTTCTTTTAATATTTTTACCGACTCAATCTTCAACTATTCAATCTTGCTATGAACGTATAAAATTCACAGTCTAATAATCAGAAATCCATTTCATTTTTGCTTGTGTAGGAAGTAACGGGTTCTTTGATCTAGGAAATACAGTATAAGTGATCAGATTTTCAGCTTTCTCGTTCGATCTTATATCTGCACGTTGCGAATGCCTCGATAATAAAAGTATATCGATACTTCGATCAAAGAGCGACAATTGCGAGCAAGCGAAGAATCAGGGAATAGCAGGGAACGGTCCATTTAATTAGTCCCCGCAATCACGGTATTGTAGAACGGCG